TCTCTCTCAGGGAGATATCTGTACACTGACTGTGTCTGTCAGGCCCCTCTCTCTCAGGGAGATATCTGTACACTGAATGTGTCTGTCAGGCCCCCCTCTCTCTCTCAGGGAGATATCTGTACCCCGACTGGTGTCTCTCAGTCCCACCTCTCTCTCTCTCAGAGAGATACCTGTACCCCGACTGGTGTCTCTCAGGCCCCTCTCTCTCTCAGAGAGATACCTGTACACTGACTGGTGTCTCTTGGTTTCCTCTCTCTCTCAGGGAGATATCTGTACGTCTTCTTGGATGTTATTTTTGGTGGTTTAGAAATTCAGGAATTCCAACCATGCCTGACGTATGATAAGTTGACTGCATGTGAGGTTTGCAAGAAGCTGTCTGTGTGTTCATTGTGAAGAGAGGGAGCTACACATCACCCAAAAGGATACTAATGACAAACATCCCACCGCCACTATCGCCTGATTTACCGACAAACTCCATCTGAAACACAGGCAAAATGCTTTTGTTAGAACCAATCCAAAAAGCTCCCACAGAAACTCAGATTGTAGGAGAGGAAGTGAGTGAGAGGATAACTCCAGCACATACAGCCCAGGGGTGTGTGAGTAAAGAGGCTAATATAGGGGTCACTCTCTAATCTCGTTTGCCCCAGCCCACCCCAGACATACTCCAACACCACCTCTCCACCCCCCCATTCAGGTCACACACCAATGACCCTCTCCTCCACCAACACCCTCTTCATTGTCCAAAACCTTCCACCCCAGTCACATTCCAACATTCCTGCTCCCCACCTCCATCCCCTCAATCCCCCAGGTCCCACTCCAACACCAAAGGGGGAGTTCGAGAACTGACACACTCACCGGGTCATCACTGAGGAGGGTCAGGTACTGGTCCAGCACCGGTTTCGACAGGTTGTAGCCAGGAGGAAAAGCCCGGAATATCTGTCAGCCAAAAGAATAAATTCCTCAAAATATAAGCACAGTGAGACGGGTACTCTGAACCTAACCTTGTACTGTCGCTGGGCTGGGAGAGTTCGATGGGGACAGTAGGTATGTACACAGAGTAATAAATCTGACCACACTGGACTCTTCCCAACCATCAAGCTGCTCTACATACCCTCCAACAATCCTGGTGAGTAACAGTGGTGTCACACAAGTACCAGGCAATAACCATCTCCAAAGCGAGAATCTAACCACTGGCCCTTGGCACTCAATGGTGTTACCATCACTGAATCCCCTACTATCAACATCCTGGTGACATGAGGTGAGGGATGGGAATTACCACTGACCAGAAATTCAGCTGGACTCACCACATAAACACAGTGGCTACAAGAGCAGGTCAGAGATTAGGAATCCTGCAGCAAGTAACTCACCTCCTGACTCCCCAAAGCCTGCCCACCATCTACAAGGCACATGTCAGGAGTGTGATGGAATACTCCCCACTTGCCTGGATGGGTGCAGCTCCAACAACATTCAAGAAGGCTGACACCATCCAGGGCAAAGGAGCCCGCTTGATTGGCACCACATCCGCAAACAACCACTCCCTCAAACACTGACACTCAGTAGCAGCAGTGTGTACCATCTACAAGATGTACTGCAGAAATTCACCAAGATTCCTTAGACAGTACCTTCCAAACTCTCAATCTCTCCCATCTGGAAGGTCATGGTACATGGGAATACCACCCCCTGCAAGTTCTCTGCCACACACCATCCTGACTTGGAAACATATCACCATTCCTTCAGTGTTGCTGGGTCAAAATCTTTGAATTTCCTCCCTATAAGCATTGTGGGTTCTACCTGCAGCACATGGACTGCAGTGGTTCATGAAAGCAGCTCATCACCAACTTCTCAAGGGACAGCTAGGGAGGAGCAACAAATAGTGGCCCAATCAGTGATGGCCACATTCGCTGAAGCATCTGTTAGGAGTGTGAGAGACTGCCACTCTGTCCCATGGGCATCAGCCGTGAGTCAGGCTTCTTACCTCATTGGAAGAGAGTGGTTGTGTGTGGGAGGAGCTGGAGGATGTGGTCACCTCGCTCATTCTCAGCATTGTCCGTACAATCTCACTGCTGGTCTGCGAGGAGTAAAATTACAACAGCAATTAATTCCCTCTCTTCATCCCCCAGTCAGCATTGCCGTCTCCAACAGGGATATTCTTCACTGCGCTGCTCCTGCAGTTGATATCCTGACAAGACCCAGCACATGGAGAACACATGGAGATAGGGAGGGAGTGTAGGGGCTGGAAGAGGTGACAGAGATAGACAGGGGGTGTAGGGGCTGGAGGAGGTGACAGATAGGGAGGGGGTGTAGGGGGCTGGAAGAGGTGACAGAGATAGGGAGGGGGTGTCGGGGCTGGAGGAGGTGACAGATAGGGAAGGGTGTAGGGGCTGGAGGAGGTGACAGAGATAGGGAGGGGTGTAGGGGCTACAGGAGGTGACAGAGATAGAGATGGGGTGTAGAGGGCTGGAAGAGGTTACAGCGATAGGGAGGAGATGGTTATCAGCTATCAGTGTGCATGCCCCACCAACCTTCCCCATCCACCTCCCACCTTCCTCACTCACACCCACCCAGATCCCCTTAAAACCCCATAAGTTGACACAGCCACAGTCTCTCTCACACACTACCAAACAATGAAAGCGAGATTGCTTCCCCACCCAACCCCCCGCCCCGAACGCAGAGAGAAGTTCTCTCCCCACAAACCTGGTCGAGTTTGCTGTTGACTGCAGCCACGATCGCTTGATCCCGGAAGTGTTGGTGAAACCGCTCGAAATTCACCTGCCAGTAAATGCCATCATCTGGGGGGAGCTGTGGGGAAGCAGGACGAAACAACAGGCAGTGAGAGAGCAGCCAGTAGCAGGGTCCTGGTCTACACCACCCAGTATAAAGACAAACCATGAGACAGTGAGTGAGAAACCTCCATACTCTATACTTCCTCAGCACATTTCCAGCTTCGCGTTGTCCCCAGGCTTGCTGCACTGTTGAGAAGCTGGAACCGAGCAGAATTTACACCAAGGGCCCCGGCCCAGAGAGAAGTCTCAGCGCGCAGAGGGGCAGGGGCATCCTGGCTGGCCAAGGGGGTGGGGAGAGGGCACCCTGGCCGGAGTAGGGGGCCCAGCACACAGCAGTCTCCAATGAGGAGGGGGTTATACAAGGAGGAGCACCACATAGAGCGGCCCCAGTGCGGAGAGACACTGGTACGGAGCAGCATCATCACAGAG